TGGGAAAGGTGGGACTCAGTGATTGTGATTTTGTTGTTGCTGCTAACCCGGAGCATGAAAATGTCCTGGGAATTGTTCAGAGTTGTGACATAGGACAGAGGGACACCTAGATGCAGTCTATGCCTCTGCTGTAGCCTGGAGGAGCACAGGGAAATTCCCCTTTATCTATAAAACAAGGACTAAAAAAATAGCATAAACAAAGCAAAACGAGTCAACAGAATGCATGGGAGCACTTGTGTGGATGCCTCCATCCTGCTTGGTTGTGGGCTTTCAAAGGGGAAGACTGGTGTCTCACTCAATTTTGCTTTCCCAGCTCCTGGCAGAATCTTCCAAACAGAGGTGCTCTATGCAGTCTTCTCAATGCTCCAGTGAATGATTTCAAGTTTTCCCAGAAGCATGGCAGGAAAGTTTCAGAAATAACCTAATTCCACCTGTAAAGAACCATCCCCCACACTGTCTACCCAGAAAAGAGTTTTGTTAACTATTTTTTTAAAGAAACACTCCTACTTTTGTATGCAGAGGAGCAGGTTTAACCTGGCTGGAGGCTGAGGTCTCCAAGTAAATACAGGGAAAATCAAGTGAGCAATGGGGGGAAGGTGAGTGGCGCAGAGGGCAAGGCTCAGCCTTAGAAGGAATCCCCAGCTGACACTGGGAGGAAAGGCCATCCAAGAGAAAGGAGAGGTGGGTACAGGAAGAGAGCTGGGGTTCATCAATACAGCCCTTCTGTTTTCCAGATGTTATATCTATGTCATACACATTAGCAGAGCATTGCAGAATAAAATTTCCCTTTTAAAGTGAGCACTTTAGGGGCTGGGGATTTAGCTCAGCGGCAAAAGCGCCTGCCTGGCAAGCGCAAGGTCGTGAGTTCAGTTCCTGGTACCGGAGAAAAACCAAAAAAAAACCAAAAAAACAACAAAAAATAAATAAATAAAGTGAGCACTTTAAAGGCTTAAAAAGAGAGCAGTTTCCTCTTGCAGATGCTACCTACTTGAAACAGATGTGGAATGAGGTGTCAAGGTCAGGGTCACGATGCTGGAACACATTTTCCGTGTTCTTAAGTAGCCCTAGTGCAGCTGGTCACCCAGGGGCTGGCTCCGTGAGCCTGGTCCCCAGGCACAGGTGGGAAGAGGAGCAGGTGGACACAGACCATGGTCCGTGGAAGGATCCTCCAACAATCTGATCAGCATCTAATGCATAAAGAATGAGCCATTGCACCGTCTTAGTCACTTTTCTTGTCACTGAGACACAATATCCGACTCCCATTGCTTAAAGGAAGCGAGGTTATTTAGGCTCCTGTTTGTAGTCCATGGTTGATGTGCTTTTAAAGCAGAAATGGCATGGCAGAGGGCATGGTGGACCAAAAGCTGCTCAGTCCTGGCACTCAGGAGGCAGAGAGTGAAGGGAAGGAGATATATGCTTCTAGGCTGCACCCACAGTGACTGGCCCCTTCTGACCAGGCCCCCCATCCCAGGAGCACACTCAGCTCCTGAAATGACCTGTGGATGAAGCCATGGATGAGTCCAGCTGCCTTCCAAACACGAGATTTTAGGAGCACATTTGGGAGCCTAACCATAACAAATACCTAGGATGAATTTGTTCAGAGTGGCTCAGGCATGCCCCTGAGTTTTTCACTTGGCAACAAAGATGAAGAAGTATCTGGACTTATCGGTGGCCTTTTGACTTTGAAGAACAGGACTGGGGACAACCAGCCTGAGCAGCTTAGAAAATGCCCCCCTGCCACTGATGACCTGGGTCTCCCGGAAAAGGGAAGTGTCATGCATTCCCTCTCAGAGTGGAATCACCTTGGGCCACGCTCTGATAAAATCCCTTCTCTCACTGTCCACTGCACCAAGGATGAAACCCAAACCCTGCACTGAGGCTCCTGGTTGGGACGAGTGAGTTCACCTCTCCCACCACCTCTTCCCCCAGGGCCACAGCACCATCATAAGCTCACTCTTCACCTTATTTCAAGTCTTGGCCACTAGGACAAGTCCCTCAGACAGTCAGTCCCTGCTCTCTCTCCTGTGGTCCTTGAGCTCAGTCTCCTGTTTGTCCCCTTCATACTCTACTAAAAACTGTACTTTTATGTGTGTGTTTTTCTGCCTCTGTCTCTTTCTGCTCTCCACTAGACAGTAAATTCCACAAAGGCAACAGATTACATCATCTTTGCTAAAGTTGAGTGTTCGTGTCACCCCAGAGTCATCCTTTGAAACAGAACCTCTGGGATGATGGTATTAGGAGGTGAGGATTTGGGGACGCGAATGGGTGATGAAGGTGGAGCCTTGTGGATAGGACTGTTACCCTCATAAAAGAGCCTGGGGGAGGCTGTCTGCCCTTTCTTCCCTAACAGGACATGTAGAAGTTACCATCTATGAGGAAGCAGCCCTTGCTATACACTAAATCTGCTGACACCTTGACCTTGAACTTTTCAGCTTTCAGAACCATAGGCAATAAATTCCCAATGTTTATACAATGCCTGGTCTGAGGTATTTGTTAGAGTAGGCACACTGGACTGTGATTGTCTTGATTACTGCTGAATCCACACACACTGCCTATTCCTGTTTCCAGAATATAGAAGGTGCTTAATAAACATTTATGAAATGGTGGTATCTGCCAGAAAACTATAGCAACGAAGTCGCAGGACCTTCAGACCATTATGTGAAATCCTCTGTTTCTTTTGTTTTTTCTTTCTTTCTTTTTTTTTTTTTTTTCCTTCTTTCTCTTGAACCGTACTCACAACCTTGCGCTTGCCAGGCAGGCGCTTTTTTGTGATGGAGATGGAACTCAAGCCTCATGGGCTCCAGCTCCAGCCCCACCCTCTGTTTTCTGATGAATAGTTTTCAAACTCTAGTGCAGTGAGACAGCTATTGGAACACTTAGCAAAGCTCCATGGGGCCCAGAGAGAATGGTTGGGACTGATGGATACTGGACTGAGGTCCAGGTTGCCCTGCCTTGTCAGATGCTGGAACCTGCAAACAGGAGCCGCTCCCCACAGGACTGCACCTATATACAAAAGGCTGTAAGGACCCCTGAAGATGGCGCTTATTGGCACGGAGCATTCTAGTGTGTGCTTCATGTGGAGGGGTGGTGGGGAGGCTCTGCCAGTGTGGTGGCCGAGTGGGATGGCCCTGGCAGCTGGAACAGCAGCTCCCATCCATCAGGGTGCAGCCAGCTCAGCGAACCCTTGTCCCTCCTTCTCAGCTGTCTCCATGGACCAGAGCCAGCAGATTCCCCTTGGGAAGGGAACAGATGGCGGGCAAATTCCTGAACAGCCCGGCTTGCTCACTTCCCCAGGTAACTGCAGTTAGGCGAGGAAACATTGCTGCCTTGAATGCTCAGGCCATGCGGGGCTGGCTGCAACCTCTTCCACGGGCATGTTTATTTAAGAGGCGATTTGGAATGTGAGTGACAGCCGGCGCACATACACAGAAGGACTTAAATGCATGTACATATCAAGTGTTTCTTGCTGGCAACCTTGTCCCACTCAGCCCTGCGTCTCTGCACTTATGCTTTTGCCACTCGATAGAAAAACAGGCTCTAAGCACACTTGAAGGCACCTGAATTCCAGATCATTTCTCCCCTGGGATTTAAGATGCGAGTCTCCAGCACAGGAGCCAAGGTTATTTGAATAGCAGCTTCTGAGCAAAAGTAAATAGTGTTTAGAGAAAATCAGTAACATTTCTACTTCCAAAGCTCCTTCTTGGACATTTATTTTCCATACATAAGCCAGTTGCCTTACTGCTAGACTCTAATAGGGTCTCAAGAGACAAATTTTGTGTGCACATCAGTGTGGTCTTCTGACGGGGACACAGAACAGCTCTTCTGGGCCTTTCTCTCTGATGGTAATGTCCTGAGCTTTGCTTGATATTAGATAGGTGTGTCTAGTCCTCCTTCCTCAGGCTGTAATCCAGAATTGACTGGCAGATGTGACCACTTGTCCTTCTATGTCACCAGTCTGACGTTCTGATCGTGAATGACATTTGCAGTGCAACCCTCGGGCAATGGATGCGCCATGGGGAAGCTGTCAGCCACTCTGAGAACATTCTGGTCTGCTTGCTTGTCTTTGGTCTCCATCCCCACCAGAAGAGCAATTGTCACCCTAATGTGACCAGGCACTCTTGTCCACTGCTGAGGCAGTAGCTCTGCACCTGTGCTTAGCCCTGGTTACATGTGCTGCTTTGCTTCTGCCTGGTTAGCGTGGTGGGGGTGTGCATATGCTGGACCAGACATGGGAGAAGCCCACACACCCTGCAGGGCCGAACTGCCACCCCCAACTTACATTATTGTTTCTCATGCTAGATCAAAGCCCCAGAGAGCAGCTTTCTCATTCCAGGTGCTTTAAGTGAGGGATCTCCAGTAATGGATTTGTATCTGCACTCCGGGATAGTGCCCCAGGGTGACTTGAGCAGAAGAGCTGCCTACTATCAGTCCTCTACTACCAATGACATTTTCAACAGAAGCCTTTTGTGTTCACCTGAGGAGTCCTGTTATCTTTGCCAACGTTCACTATCACAGACTTCCATGCTCTTTCCCCTTGGAGTGGTAGTATCATTGTTTTGCAAATTTATGCCATGCATGTAGACTGTTACACTGGGGCTCCCTACAGAGGGTCTTTTGGAAGTTATTCAAAAGAAGTGGGTATTTTTAAATGACTCATTACTTAGAGGATGTGGGTTCTGAGTATTTAACATTAAAGAGCAGGTGACAGTTACTTAGGGCAGAACGAATGATCCAATGCACCAACCACGTGGACTGCTCGCACTCTCGGCCTTTGCTGCCTTCTTGATCTGTGTTTTTTCCTCGGAGGCTGAGCCCCACCCCCTGTGGCACTGTCTGTCCAGGCCTGTCCTTCCCACCTGTGCCCACACACACACCTAGGTGCCAAGCTAGACGCTGATACCGCGTTTTTAGATTAACAAGAGTGAGGCGGGAGTTTGCTCAGTCTGGCAATGTATCTGAATGGGAAACCATTGCTACTTGTTTTACACAGGAAAGAGTTCCAGAAGGCCAGGTGCACTTTATTGGGTGAATTTTTGGCAGTGTCGTGGTGTCTCTTTCCTAAGAAGATTGACAAATCCTGCATGAGGAGCAAGCTTTAACACAGCAGGTTAAGATGTCATTAGCAAAAACCAAGCCCCACAGAGTTACGTGGCTTCCCCTGGAAAGCAGTTCTTCCCTGTCTAATCTTCTTTCACAGCTCATCAATTCTCTGGGACTCAGAAAAAGGTGTTTCCCATAATGTACTGAAAACATGTATTAATAAAAATAAAAATTAGAAAAGGAAGAAAAGTAAAATGTGTTTCCCAGTTGTCCTGTCCTGGGAGAACATTGTTGGTGGACGGAAGCTGCACTCCACGCACAGCACGCACATCTGTGTCTGCCGGAGGGAGAGATGGGACTCTCCTTATCTCTGAGGCCTGAGCCCAGCAAGCGTGTCTGCAGGATGGCCCCGCCATGGTTGCTTGGGAGGTGCTTGGCACCAAGGCCCTGCCTCTTATCTGCTGCCTTAAGTAAACCAGGGAACCTCTCTGAATCGCTACGGGCAGGCTTATTGGTAACAAGGGGTTACTGAGGTCCTCTGCGGCATTCTGAGAGTCACGTGTAAGTCTCAGCCACTTCCTTGCCCATTCCGTGGTGCACACAGAGATGTTTCTGGGACATAGTCTTAGAAGACAGTGGGTAACTTTTGCTTTTTGGCAACTTTAATAGGGGTGATTTAAGTGTCTGTGGGTCAGACCTCACACAAGGTGCGAGTTAAGACAGATTGGAAGGTAGGCTGTGGGTAAGAACTCTGAGTGAGGTGGCCAGCGGGGAAGGTGCTTCACAGACAGAAAGGGGTTCTTCTCCACCAGGGTCGCCTGCTAGAGCGGGGGCTTCAAAGAGTGGAAGGGAATGGGGGCTTCCCTGACTGTGCAGGGGGTAAGTGGCAGCAGCATCTGAAGGGGGAAGGGTGGGCGAAGCCTTTTCTGTGCTGGCTCAGGAGCAGGATCCCATGGATAATCGTGTCAACATGGTGAAAGAGGAGAATCAGGGAGAGCTTCTCTGCTTCTGAGTTGCCTTCGACTTGTCTCTACAGGAGATGTCTCCAGAGAGGAAGGACGGGAGAGTTAAGGCAGGAATTCAGCTCCTCAAGTTTTCAGGTTCTAACAGGTGAGCTATCACTTTGGGATTCTGGAGATACTGAGGTCTGAGGGAATCACCAGTGACCCCATTTTAAAGCCTGACTCAGTCTTCTGTGGCCTATCTGTGGTTATGTGGGCTCAGAGCCAGGCAAGAAAGATCAAGTGGCTTGTATGCAGGAGCAGATTTGGAAGTGATCCACTGAAATGTGAGCCACCATCAGACTTTGTATTTAATAAGTCTACGGTTATTCAAGAATGTGTAGAAAATGTCTTGAAGAAATTTTCCTTGGGCTATGAAGGATAGTCTTCCTACATTTAGGTTGCCATGATGGGAACCAGAATGAGCACACTGGGATTAGCATTTCACAGTTCCAGTGTACATCAACTCTGGTCTACCAAGGAGCTTTAGGATAGGGTGTTTTCATCCCTTTGTCTTTGACAGCTTCTGAAACTTCTAGAGCTGGTGGAGAGGTAGGATTTGGCCCTGGCTTATGGAGGCCACTGATAAAGTAGTAGAGAACTAGAGAGAGACTCATTTGGCCAGTTGGGGGTATTTCACACTGTAAATGGAGGTGGATATGAAACAGGAGCCAAGCCACTGTGCAGCCCCAAGGCCAGCTTCCTCTGTGACTGCCCTCCCTTTCTAGCCACCTCAGTGTGGGCTGCGTCCTGAGGGCACGGACCAGTTCTGAGTGAGAATCTTCAGCTCCAACCAGGATCTGAGTGCTAGCTCCACTGGGGAGTTCCAGTGGCAGCCTCTTCCCCACCAGGCATCCAGGCTCAGCAAGGGCCCCTCTCCTAGACCCCTACTGCATGCAGCTCACCAACTGGGGTACGGTCACTGGCTGTTTCTGTTTCTTTTGATGGGGATGGCAGCCTGTTCCTCATTCCCTGCATGACTTGCTTCACCAAATAAGGAGGTCCGCAACTACCACCCTGAAGCCTGCCTTGACAAGAGGACCCCTGTTTGGCCACCACTGTCCTAGCCCACTTCTCAAGATCCAGCAAAGGTGCCAGGAATGAAGACACCCCCTAGAGTGTAATCATCACACAATGGGGTTTCTAACTAGGGCACTTTCTTCCCATCAGCCCTAGACCCTAGGAAGCCCGGATTGAGGGGAACTGGGTCTGAGGTCTGCAAGTTGTTCCCCTGTTCTGCCTTTCCCTCCTGTTTCACTGTGGTTCCCAGGGAAGGTGGTCCAAATTCACAGGCCAGTCTGGAGCCAGGGATACTGTGGTAGGGCCCTGCAGAATTCTGTGCCTGGGAACAAGCGAACTCTGTTGCCAAGTCTGGGCAAGCTAATCACAAACCTGTCTTTCTCCACACATACTTTATTGACCTGACAATCTGCCCATCCATCCTCCAGAACAGAATTGTCTCTGAAGCTAATCATTTTAAGGCTCCTCTCTACTCCTTTTCCCTTAACATTTACCCCCTCTCCAATTCTCCCACTTCCTCTCTCAGCCTCCCGTTTCCGGTATGGGGAGAGGTAGCCCTGCCCTTATCCATCCCGGCCAGGCTGTGCGAGTGAGGTATGAGGCCTTCTCTGCACCAGCCTGAGACCTTGGGACTTGATGAGGGGGCTGCATCTATAGTCATCTGTCACTTCCGCTTCACATCCTACTCTTTACCTTGAAGGACAAGGCGTGTTGGGCCTGAGTTCAGAGTGTCTGGGTAACAAGTGGGGCGATTTTACAATTTGTTTTTGCTTTCATTTCTCTCTGCTTCCCTTTCCTCTCTGCCTCTCTCAGTGCCATCTGGTTCTTGTGGTCCTCTGGAGCTCAGCTTCACCCCAGGGTCACATCACAGGCTCTCTGAGATTGTGCAAGAAAATGACAGAGATCAGAAGTACTTGAGGTTCTTGGGCCAAAAAAGCATACAAGAAACCCGGCTGCTGAGGTTCTTCCTTGGTGGAAGATAAAGGGCACAGTGTGACTGGACGTGGTTGTGATGGCCACCATGCATGTCCCCAGAGGTCCTCAGTGGCCCAAGTTCACGCTAATTAGGCCAATTGCCCAGGAGATCACAGTGGATACACAGAACACAGTAAAGGAGAAACACACACAGCTGGCAGACAGTAAGAGATGAACAGGGCCCTGCACTCTGGAGCTCTTCATACAGGGTTCTTGACCTCAGATTTAAAAGGGATCACCTCCATGATGTGCATCTGTAACCCACCAGGGTGCTTAGAGCTCGTCTTTACACCAGAGGTCTAAACATCCACCCAGGAGAGCCCCTCTTCACTGAATTCACAACCGTTCCCAGGACAGGGGAGTGAGGGGCAGGGCCCATAGCCCTCTCTAGGTGTCAGCCATGGAGAGAACTGTGAGACCCAGGGAGGGGGTGACTTGAGGTCAGCTGGCAGAACGAAGATAGATGCCACCTTGTGACTTTTGCTGTGAGAACTCCATCCTGGCCAGGCCCTAAGCCAGTGCTGGGAGAGGAGACAGTACTGCCCAAGGCCCAGATGGGAGGCCACTTGCTTGAAGAGCCATATGTTGTGAGGTGTGAGAGCTAGATATGTGGTTCTTCCCCATGAGGCCCTGACAACTCCTGAGCCTCCAAACACACCCTCAGCTAATTCCTCTACTCCCTTCTGGGCTCTGCAGTACCTGTGCTCAGGGAAGCCAGTGAAGGGAGGTTGAGGAGAAAATACAGTCCTCACACTGAGCCCCTGGTCTTCCAGGATCCATGCAATCCCTCAGCCTCATCTTCTTCATCTTGTTCAACCTCCACATCCTGCCCCACGTCCTGCCCCATCTCAGCACAGCCTCCGAGCAAGGGAGGGCTGGGCAGGTACTGGAGGAGCCGGCCTTCCCGCTTCATTTCTGCCAGCTCCTTGGCACAACAGCTGGGTGTGTTGGTCTCATAGGTATCATGGAAGGTGTTGTAGTCCACTTCATAGAAGCCCTTTTCCAAGGTGAGGACTGGAGTAAATCGGTGACCCCAGAGTACCTCTGTATCCATGTAAGAGCTCCGTGCTTGACAAGTCATGCCTGGGGAAACAAAACACATGCATTAAGGTGCAACCACCCATCCATCCAGTCATCCACTCAGTCATCCACCCATCCATCCATCCATCCAGTCATCCACTCAGCTATCCATCCATCCATCCATCTATCCATCCATCCATCCATCCATCCAATCATCCACTCAGTCATCCATCCATCTATCCATCCATCCATCTATCCATCCATCCATCCATCCATCCATCCATCCATCCATCCACCCATCCATCCACCCATTCATCCATCCAGTATTTTTTGAACATTTAATTTGTGCTAAGCATCTCAGGTAGAAGGTTGAATAAGACATCATTTTTGATTTGGAAGAACTCAAATATGGTAAGGGCATACAATTAGAAATAAACATGCAAGACTCTGGAATACACTCTTAGGAACCTAAATTAGAGGCAAGGATATGGTTCCTGAGAACAGCATTCAAGTCTAGAAGATTGAGACAGGAAGAGATAGGAAAAATTTGAAAGATACATTTAGAGTGAGGGAACAAAGAGGAGGTGACAGGCATTTAGAACATGGAGGGATGGTTTCAGGTAAACACATACGGACAGAAACCTACACACTCATGAACACACACAGACATACACATGCCCACATACACACATAAGCACACACAGTGCAGAGGAAACACACACACACACACACACACACACACACACACACACACACACATGAGCTTGGCTTTTTGGTTTGGGGACACTCCAATGCCTCCTTTCCTGCTCCACACAGCCCATGCCATGCCTGTGTATGTTTAGGCATTTCTTTCTCTACTGAGAGGGAGGACAGTTTTGTTTATGGATGAGGAACCTCTGTGCTCAGGGTCATAGGAAACCAGCTTCCTGTTTAATCTTCTGGCTGAGGAAGCTACTAGCTAGTGCTCTTTGGACAATGCAGGGGAAGCCTTCTGTGGCCTCTACCAAGGGCCTCTCTGGGAGGGATGTCACATAAACCAGATCTAGGTCAAAGGCTGTGTCCCACCTAACTGTGGCCCAGGGCTTGTACAGCCCAGGACCCCACATGCAGAGGGCTTGTGGCCTGTTCTCTGCCCTTACAGGTCACCTCCATGGACCCAGTCTCTCCATTCTGTCCTCACCCATCACTGCCACCCTCTGCTTCACAGAGGCACAGAGACACAAGCTAGGCGCTGACCAGCTGGCCCAGGCTTGCAGTTGGCATGGCCTCTGCAGGGGCTTTTGGGGCAGCCCTTTTGGCCTCTTCTGGCTTTTCTTCCTGTCCTTCCTCTAGGGATGCTTGAGTGGGCTGCCCGATCACCAGACCCCTCGTTGCTTGAGATTCTGTCACTGTCAATAGATTGGCAAGGACTGTCCCCGTGTCGTGTCTGGCCCTGTGCTTTACCTGCATTCCTGTTTAGTTATTTAATCCCCCCAACAATGCCATGAAGTTGATTTGCCTCATTCTGCCAACAAGTCAAGCCACCTGCCCAAATGACTCAGGTACTGCTGTGGCAGAGCAGTGCTATTCAAAACCAGCCCTCAATTCACACCCAAGCTTGGCTCTGCAAGCTCGCCAACCATTCAAGCTGTGGGGGTCAGAACAGATGTGAGCCCATGGTCTCCTTCGCTGATCTCCATGGCTGTCCCCTCCAGTGGGTAGAACAGGATGCCCAGCCCGTGGGAGGGGAGGAGGTCAAGCAGTTCAGGTGGCTCAGTGCGAGCCTGTAGGGAAATGTGAGGGGAGGAGCCAGAGGGCCCAGGGGTGCTGGGTCTGCTGCAGAAGGTAAGGCATGGCTTTCTCCTTTGCCTTCAAATCTCTACCTGATCCCCCTTTGTGACTTCAGAGTGGAGCTCTTCCCTCAGAAGCAGCCTCTGTTCTGATCCTGACTCTCACCAAGGGCAAGGTGACCTGGGAGCCCTCAGCTCTGTGGGAGGCAGCTTCCTGTGTCCTGACTGTCCTCAGTCCCAGGGTCCCCTGTGGCTACCACCATATGCTGCCTGACCAGGCTCCAGCCCCCAGCAGATGGCCAAGCAGTGCCCTCTGGCACAGTCTCTGCAGCCCCAGGACATTACCCTGCACCACACTCCCCTGGTCAGCTCCACTGGCTCTGAAGAGGGAACACATATGGAGGGCCTGAGTTCCCCACGCAGCAACCAGCTTCAAAGGCCAGGCAGGTGTGACTGGCTACCTTTGTGACAGGTGCCTGACATTTTTGGGGCCAGTGTGGTACTCCAGAAAGAGCTTTAGATTTGTAAGTGAAGGGCCTGAGTGTGAACACTCACTGTCTGCAAGATTTGTTTGAGGCTCAGCACCCAGATCTATAGTATGGACTGAAGCCAGACTGATATTGTTTGCAAAAATTAGACAAAAAGAATGTGCCACATTCGGAGCACGGGTGGGTTTCTGATAAGGCCCTGTTAGGGTCAGGCCTGCTGATCCGTCTGCCGGATGCAAAAAGGGAAAGTAAGAAAGGAAATAAGAAGCGGGGTATAGGAAGTTGCTAGAGGGCTCCGTGTCCAGGAAGCAGGGCCCCAAGAGTTGATGAAGGGCTTGGGTGTGTGCTCACAGCAGAACTCAGGCACCCTCATGCCCTGGGCTCCTTGGAGAGATCCCCTGGGTGTGTGGCTGAGGAATGAGGCTCTTGGCTCCCCGCTGCCTGTGAGAATTGGCAGCTGAGCAGGGGAGGCCAAGCTGGCCACAAAGCAAGCATCTACCCAGTATATGTGAATGTGTTTGGGTTTTCTCTAAGGAAGGGCTTTTGCACACCTTGGTTTCTTGAGCCAACCAACAGGAAGGATGCTGAGCGAGAGGCCTGCTGCTTCAGACAGGAGTGCACAGGAAGAGTGACTCTGCCAGGTCTGGACCATAGGGGTCCCCAAAAAGGACTGTGCAAATCACCTGAGTTTAGAAAATGCTGGCCCTTTTCTTGATGATGAGATTCACACTATGTACAGATGTGGTAAAGTCCTGCTTTATGAAACCAGCTCACCCTTGTATCCTCCCAGGTTTCCCAAGGTTGTGTGCTCCAGGATGGCGGTGTGATGGCCTGTTGGAAGTGAATGCCATATTTGGGGTCCCCTGGCCCGATTTGCATCCTGGCTCTTGACTCAGTAGCACCTGCTGTGTCTGTGTCTTACAGGGGTGTAGGAAGGCACCAAATTACAGGATATATGTTTAAAGTCTAGAACCAGGCCTGGAAGGTGGAGGTTCAGCCTAGGTTAGCTGCTGATCTTGAGTAACAGTACCCTTAGATCACAACAGGGAACGGATGGGCTGCCTGTACCATCTGGAGTCTCCCAGTCCACTTCTCAGAGGCACTGTGGGTTAAGCTCCCGGGAAGGGTGAGGGGATCATGTACCTGAGGAGGACAAAATGTCTTACCGGTTGCTTCCACCATCCCTTCTAGAATGACCACCACCTCAAACTCCTCCTGGTGCAGCTGGGCCCGAGACATCTCCCAGAAGGGGCTCTTCTCATTGATCTCATGGGAGATGATGAGCGGGGACACCAGGAAGAGACGGTCGTCCCCGGTGTCAAAGCCCACGTTAATGTCTGTCTGATTCAGGGGGATGAACTCCCCCTCTTTGGTCTGCCTCGACTTGATGAGCTTGGCTCGGATGGAGGCCTCCACGATGTGCGAGTTGCGGAGGTCGCCCACCCGGAACATGAAGCACAGCTTCTCGTCCCGCATGGAGATGACTGCGTGGCTGGAGAACATGAGGGTCTCCGCCCTCTTCTTGGGCTGGCTGATCTTGACGAACATGCACCCCACCATGAAGGCATTGACGATGGAGCCCAGGATGGCCTGCACCAGGAGGAGGACGATCCCCTCTGGACACTTCTCGGTGATGACCCTGAAGCCATATCCGATGGTAGTTTCGGTCTCAATGGAGAACAGGAAAGCTGACACGAAGCCGCTGAGGTTCTCCACACAAGGGATCCACTCTTGGTCGCCCACGTGGTCCAGGTCGCCCCGGATGTAAGCGATGAGCCACCAGATGAAGCCGAAGAACAGCCAGGTGGTGGTATAGACCATGGTGAAGACGAGCAGGTTGAAGCGCCACTTGAGGTCCACCAGCGTGGTGAAGAGGTCGCTCAGGTAGCGGTAGGTCTCCTGCACGTTGCCGTGGTGCACGTTGCACTTGCCGCTCTTCTCCATATAGCGCTGGCGTGGCTTCTTGCCCTCGGCCAGCAGGCGTGTGCGGTCCGTGGCCAGGGGCGCGTCGTCGCGGGCCTGTTTGGGGATCTTCTTGGGGTCCCGGGGGGTGACTCCAATCTCCATGTCCTGCTTCATAGCATTCCTAGAATCACCAGCCATGGCTGGGATACATTGGGTTAAGAGACAACATCATGAGTGACGGCTGAGAGTCACAGACACGCAAGACTGAGGCTCGTCTGGGCCATGCTCCGCAGAGCGGCCTGGACTGGGAACTCTTAAGGGCAGGGGTCATGTGCTCTTCTAACTCCTTTGTGTCCCTGGCTCCTCCTACACGTTCTTGCTTTGGGGCAAACTACATAGAAGTGTTTAAAGGAGCTAAAGCTATCTGGGAACAATGTAAAAAATATTGTTTCAAAACAAGGTGGTAGGATATCAACAGTGGTTATTATATTACACAATGTTGTCTTCAAAATGTTTGCACAGATAACCATATATAGGTATTGATAATTCCTACCATTTTGTTTGGAGGTCATATATCATTTTTGTTGTTTTTGTATTGTTTTGATTTTGTCTTCACTGTTATTTTGTTAGTTTTTTTAATCTTTAAAATAAAAAAGTCATTGCAACAATGTATCACATACCTATTATGTTCCATGTATAGTGTTACAATCACCACAATAACTTATGGAACTAAAGACTGGAATCCTCATTATAAACTGTGTGCCTCTGTATTGCGTTGATTTCTAATTATTTCTCCCCAGAGCTAATTTTTTTTTTCATTAATAGGGATTGAACCCAGGACTTTTGTGCTGGGCTGTGTCACCAGCTGCCCTTCCTCCCTTTTTAAAAAGTTTTTGAGATGGGGTCTTGCTAACTTGCCCACACTGAGCTCAAACTTGTGATCCTCCTGCTTAGCCTCCGAGAGTACTGAGATCACAGAGGAGTGTCACTATGCCTTGGCCTCAAAATGACATAATTTTTTGCCTGTTTTGTTCGCTGGTACATTCTAAACACCTAGAAAATAGCCTGGTATGTACAGTGCATTCAAAGTACTTACTAAATAATTGAATGAAGAAATAAGAAAGTAGAGGCCCACAGTGGTAGTTGACATCCAGGTCACCAAACAAAAAGAACTGGAAGAGCTGATATTTAGATTCTTGCTTTCCTGGCTCAAATGCTGTGATTTTTCTTTTATACCTGGGCATCTTCCTTCCTTTTGTCGGGGGTTTTTTAGCAGCAGACACAAAGGAAAAGGCTGCATATGTCTGGTTCTCCAAGTGGTTGCTCTCCCTGTCTGAGTGGGGAGTCTGTGGTTGCCTGAGCACTTACTAAAACGACAAATTGCTGGGTAGATCCACTCTTAAAATTTTTGATCCAGTTATTCATCAAGAAATTGGAATGAGGAGGATGTGCATGTCTCTGGGCTTTTGAAAGGAGTGTAAACAGCTTTTCCTTTGAGAACTTGCCAGACTTCAAAGAGATATCCAGACACCTGCAATACCGCATCTACTCTTCTTGTCTGATATTCTGCCTAAACCCATTTAGAATGCTTTAAGACTCCAATGCAGTTAAATAAGACCATGAAAATCTCTGTAATTAATAACAGCAGCTAAATTCCTGAGCATTAAGAGCTAGGAACTGCACTAAGAAATGCACAATCATTAGCTCATTTAAGCCTACTATAAAGCTATTACACAGGTAGTTATTATCTGTCCAATTTTCAGACATGTGGTAGAGTTTGGCATTAGGTTTACCTGGCTTAAGCGTGAGGGTTTAACTAGCCTGGGTCTTAAGCCGAGTTTCGTAAACCTCCATAGCTCTCCATCTCACCCCCTGTGGCTGGCTATGGATCTGCCTGGGTAGGTCCTGCCTCTTCTTACCACCTACTATGAGAGCAGCCATATCTCTCCAGATGTTAAGTTCCCCTGAAATGCTTTGGGTTTAATGCTTCCTTCTTTGGAATCCCAGCCAGCCCCATCTTGGGATAGTTTGTGGGAGCTCCCATGCCACCACTTTTGGGGCTACTCAAGCTGTGAGTTTAGCTGGACAGATTATCAACAAGAAGTCTGCCTGATAGAGCAACCCAGTGAACGTTCTATAATCCACTGAGCGAGCCCTCCCTCATTGTCCAACCAAGGCCATATTACTCACCCTAGGAGGTCAGATGTCTCTGGCAGGCTTTTTCCTTTGATGCCTGGGCAGTTGTGGCAATTTCCAGGTGACCTTTAGAATATCATTTTGAAGAGGCATGTGAAGGACCATTTGTCTCAGACATCCATCAGCCAGAGCCACCTGCTCCCTGCTCCATCACGTGGCTATTACAAAGATAAATGAAACAAGGAGGAAAAGGTGTGGGTCTCTCTGCAGAATCCCAAGCAACACTTTGCTCTGCCTCTGGGGAGGAGTCTTTGTACTGCAAACCTGACCAGAGATGCTCAGACATGTGAGGTACACTGCTGGGCCTGAGACCCCATGCTCCTGGGGAGCTCAGCTGTTGGGAGTAAGGCAGGGTTTGATGGCACTTTCTGGGCGCCTGGCCATCCGTACTGGGTGGTGCCAGCACAGCGCTGTGTGTGATTCATGGGCCAGGGCACTAGGGAGAGCGTATTCTTCTGCCTTTAGCTCTTGGGAGAGAACAGCTTTCTGCTGATTTTCTGCACTGTTTCCTTTTTTATTTTTAAACATACTCTCATATGTTCTTCTAGGAGAAGCCCTTGTGCTATACTAGAAACAGAAAGATGTTTTCTAGGACACCTTCACCCTGGTCTGGAAACTTTCTGTGTCTAGCAGACAGGAAAAGGCCATTTCCTTCTGACCTGAGGTTGGTGTACATGCTCCGTGCTCACTCGAGCCATGCACAGAAGTGATTTTTGTCTCATTCCAGGCCAAGATTTGGGTTCTCACTCAGGGTCCAACAAACTTGCTCCGTAGTCCACAGAAAATTAACCTTAACTTGCTTGACCTCAGTTTGCTTTTGTATAAATTCCTAATAATATACTTTGCTCCTTTATGGATCTACAGAAAAAATATGATTGCATTTTTAAATGCATAAATATAAGCATAAGTGTACATAGTCATGGGCCAGGTAAGGACATTTTAGTTGGGCTGGGGATTTAGCTCAGCGGCACAGCACCTACCTGGCAAACACAAGGTCATGAGTTTGATTCCCGGTACTGGGAAAAGTAAAGGACATTTTAGTCAATGCATTACAATGAAGATCCCACTAAATTACATCATCTAGGGACACTGTAGCCATATTATATTAAGTCATGCTCTATGATGTTTGATGTTTGTACAACAGCAAAATCAACTAATGTTGCATTGTTTAGAACATATCCTTGATGTATATATGTATTTATTATATTAGTATATTCATGAACTCCCCTTGAATTTAAATTTAATGCAATATTCCACTAGCCCTATTTTGAAGATGAAGAAAGAGGGGCAAGGAATGTCTAAACCATACCTCTAATGGTCCAGTGCAATTTGCAGGGCATGTATTGAGCTAACTGGCATGGAGCCTTTCTTGTCTAGATTTCTTTGAAGGGTTACCAACATGTCACCCTAAAACCACATCCTCCAGTGCTGCCTGCCCATCAAGCCAAACAGATTTTCAGGGATAATGGAGATGGCCTCCTTTAATCAGATTTTCAATCCATTAGGCAAGCATTAACTGAGGAACTACACAGTCCAGCCCTTGTGCTAGGAGCTGGCCATAAAGCAGAGCAGATCATATATGCAGACCCAGCCCTCCCGGTGTTTATGTTCTGGCACCGCAGCTTTGAACCTAGAGTTTGCGCAAAAGTGTGTGTCGACAGAGAGGCAGAAGACAGGCATGGGCCCGGCCGAGGCAGCTGAGTCTTCCAGCTGCTCCCTGCAGGACACCAGAGAAGACTGTGACTCGAGCAAATTCTATGACACCTCATCAACCTGTTACCCTTCATCTTCCGGCCGCCTGTGCACGAGGGTGGGAAGCCTTGCCGAGCCAAGATGAAAGCTCTTGGGGAAGCAGCGCTTCGGGTCCAGCACAGAGGCTTAGTCCCTTTGATATTAAACACGAGTGGAGAGAGACTCAAAAGAGACAAAGGGAGCTGTACTTTAGATGATGAGTGAATCTGACGTCCACCGAAATGGACTGCTGCATGAGGAATCCAGGGTTGCCCAGCACAGGGCAGAAAGCCAGGAGCCCAGCACAGCTGCTCGACAGAGCCACGCTTGGGGAGAGCACTGGGCTGGGAGTCTTGTCTCAGACTGCTTCCCTATCTATGAAAATGGGAGTCCCAAACGTCTGCATCAGTTTTCTCTGTCCTGTCTTATGTATGCTGGGTCAGCATCTGCATCCTCCAGATGTGGGCCTTGGGATGGGCGTGGAAGGAGCTTGGCGGTGGAAGACACACTTGCATATCAATTCGAGATATTGTGTGCACATTTACATGGCTGTACTGGTTGTTAAGATACAAAAACGCTCCAAGCTGGTTGGTGAGGAGGCTGTTGCAGTGCCCTTGAGGACAAGGTCAAGGTCAGCAGAAACATTAAAGGTGAATAGAGTGCATACCTCAGAAGGAGAAGGCACACGTAAGGCAGCAGAATTGTCCTCTGATAAGCACTCCTTGTAAAATCCGGGGATTTGGGGATGGGACCAGCACTCCTGTGACTGGGTCCTGTTCTGTGGCACAGCTGACTCTCAGAAAGGAAGGACAGATGGGGTGAGCCTGGCTCTGGCACAGAAGCCCTTCAGAGGAATCACCGAAGCAGGTGATTGAATCGCTAGAAAAATTAGCTGACAGGCAAATTTCTCCTTCCCTGGTTTTAAAGATGGAGGGGGCCCATGGCAAGGAGCACGGCCACCTCTCGGAGCTGAGACAGCTTCGAGCTGACAGCCAGAAAGGTGCTAGGGACTTGAGTCCTACAACCGAAAAGAACCAAATTCTGACACTGTGGAAAGGGACTCTGGATGCATGGCTGGGAAAGCTGCCTGTGGCCTCAGATTCCCCAGGCACCTGCTCTCCCTTGGGCTGAGGCAATCTGGAGAAAGTTACTTCTCTGAGTCTTAGTTGTTTTATCTGTGGAATGGAGATGATAATAGTACTGAGGTAGGAAAGTTGCTGAGAAAGAGAAACAAAAAGCGCATGAACAGTGTGTATAAACAGGCAGCGCTCTGTAGCATCTGGGTGCAGACCGTACCATCACTGGATGCACACAGACATCTTCCTTGTCGTCATTGCCCAACCATGACTATCTAAGACTTTCCCTCTTTCACACCCAGGCAGAGCCTGTGCTGGTAGCCCAGGCTGGGCTGTTTCCTTTGCACCTGCCACCATCATCCCTACCCTCAAAGGCCTACTTGTGGCTCCCCTGGCTCCTCCGCCCTCATGAGGCAGAAGAGTGGAGAGGAAGTCCCGGGCTGGTGACACCCTGAGCACCTCGGACACTGGCAGCCCTAGAGTGCAGCAGGGACCCAGAGGGCTTTGGCCTGGGACTGTGACCTGACTGAGGGGGCTTTCTGCGACCCCTCTCCACCTCAGGTGCTCAGCCAAGTCCATACTGGGGCTGGACATGCAACTCTCACCTAGTTCCACCCAGGTGTCCCATGGCTTCCACCGGCATGGGGATGAGCCACAAGCCTCTTCCAAAATGCAGGCACAAACTGGGACTCAGAGAAGCCAGGAGGGGGCTGAGGAGAGGGGACACAGAGGCGCCATCCCAGGAATGCAGCAACACAGGTGGGTAAAGGGGGCCCTTCTTCCTGGGGACAGGGAGTCAACCCATGGTTCCGGCCCCCAGAGCCTGTGCCCAAAACACTGGGAAGGGCTGGCCTTTTTCGTATCTTAACAATCAGTACAGCCAAGGTGCTGGTGCTTATGCCCAGGCTGCGACTCACTGTCATGGGCTCCTCAGGGCTTGGAGAGTGCACTGTCCTTTAAGCTCTGCTTGAAGTAGGTGTTCTAGGTTTTCAAAATGACCAACCTTAAAACAAAACTCTTTTTAGTGTTTGCTGAGGTTCAAAGGCACAGAGCCTGGTAGTAACATATTTTAAAAACCCAGCAGGTATTTTGTTGAACATTCGCATCATTTTGCAACTATTCTGTCAATTTCCTGGATATTCTATGGCTTTATTTTTTTGTACCCAAGTTAGTCTGGGTCATAGCACATGAAGTGGTAGGTGTGAATGCCCAGAGAAATCCATACACGGCTTCATTCATCCATCCATCCATCCATCCATCCATCCATTCAGCCAACCAGTCAGTCAGTGAGCCCCCTCCCACAGGTGTGTTATGGGGGTAGAATGTGGCAGAATCTCACTCCCCCGGCATTTCCATGCCTTCTATTCTTGGGAGTCTTGTTAACAAAGCAATTTCAGGTTCACTAGGTATGGGGTTCCTGCACGTGCATTTTTCAAATGGTTCAAGTAAAGCTTCTCTACCCTGAGCGCACCTTGTAACCAATTGGAAACTGGTCGCATGTGATGCTGGGAGGCTCAGTCATAGTGCTTTCCTCCCATGGACACTTTGGACTTTTCTCTAAATTATGCTGAACATGGTGCTAAGGGTTATAATAGCACCAATACATTTTCCTCAGAACTTTCCTTTTTGTACTAGTGGATCTGCTCTGGACACTGCCTGTCAAACCCACGACCCAAGAAACAGGAGGCCTTGGGGAAGCCCTGGGATGCTTCCCATGGCAAAGAGAGAGCTCAGCGTGGCTCACTCCATCACTGCCGCCCGGCCTCTGTGGTTCTAATTAGCCTGTCTGTCCTTCCCAGTCCCCGTGGGCATGCAGATGGCAGCTACTCCTAAAATGCATCTTTCGCCTGGCTGCCTCCTTGACCTCACCTGCACGCCTGGCAAGAGGGGTGCACAGAACAATATCTTGGGCAATGGCCACGGTCCTCCACCTCACTAATGGTAGAAATATTCTCAGTAGGAGGAGAGCCCTGACTGTGAATGCCATAATCCTTGTGGAGGAGGGCCATAAGGACAGAGGGTTGCGGTGAGTGGCCTCTCAAGCTGGTTCCCGGCTCTGATGCGATGGAGGTTGTTGTTATCCTCATTAGGGAATTGTGGGGTGATGGGGCCATGGAGCTCTGCCATGCCTGAGCTTACAGCACAGGTGCTGGTGCTTATGCCCAGGCTGCGACTCACTGTCATGGGCTCCTCAGGGCTTGGGGAGTACACTGTCCTTTAAGCTCTGCTTGAAGTAGGGGCCCCAGAAATGGCTTGTCCTAAGTGCTCCCATAGCCAGAGTAGATAAGGAACCTGGGCTGTGAGGAGGACCCTGTACCAGGAGTAGGGCAGCAGGGCACAGGGCTGTCAGT